CCAACATCATTACTGTCATAATCATCACCATCATCATCATCATTACCATCATCACCACCATCATCATCATCATCATCATCATCATCACAATCATCACCAACATCATTACTGTCATAATCATCACCATCATCATCATCATTACCATCATCACCATCATCATCACCACCATCATCATCACCATCATCACCAACATCATCATCATTATCAACATCATTACTCTCATAGTCATCACCATCATCACCATTATCATCACCACCATCATCATCATCACCATCATCACCACCATCACCACCATCATCATCATCATCACAATATCACCAACATCATCATCATTATCAACATCATTACTGTCATAATCATCACCATCGTCACCATTATCAGCACCATCATCATCATCATCATCACCACCATCATCATCACCACCACCATCATCATCACCACCATCATCATCACCACCACCATCATCACCACCACCATCATCATCACCACCATCATCATCACCATCATCACCAACATCATCATCATTATCAACATCATTACTGTCATAATCATCACCATCATCACCATTATCAGCACCATCATCATCATCATCATCATCACCATCATCATCATCACCACCACCATCATCACCACCACCATCATCATCACCACCACCATCATCACCACCACCATCATCATCACCACCATCATCATCACCATCATCACGAACATCATCATCATTATCAACATCATTACTGTCATAATCATCACCATCATCACCATTATCAGCACCATCATCATCATCATCATCATCATCATCACCATCATCACCATTATCAGCACCATCATCATCATCATTACCATCATCACCAACATCACCACCATCCTCATCATTACCATCATCACCAACATCATCATCATTATCAACATCATTACTCTCTTAATCATCACCATCATCAATATTATCATCACCACCATCATCATCATCATCATCATCATCACCACCATCACCACCATCATCATCATCACAATCATCACCAACATCATCATCATTATCAACATCATTACTGTCATAATCATCACCATTATCAGCACCATCATCATCATCACCATCATCACCATTATCAGCACCATCATCATCATCATCATCATCATCATCATCATCATCACCATCATCACCATTATCAGCACCATCATCATCATCATCATCACCATCATCACCATCATCATCATCACCACCACTATCATCATCATCACCATCATCACCATCATCACCAACATCATCATCATTATCAACATCATTACTGTCATAATCATCACCATCATCACCATTATCATCACCACCATCATCATCATCATCACCATCATCACCATCATCATTACCACCATCACCACCATCATCATCATCACCATCATCACCAACATCATCACCCTTATCAACATCATTACTGTCATAATCATCACCATCACCATCATCATCATCACCTCCGCCATCATCATCATCACCTCCACCATCATCATCATCGCCATCATCACCAACATCATCATCACCAACATCATCATGACCATCATCACCATCATCATCTAAATCACAATCATCATCACCAACATCATCATGATCATAATCATCACCATCATCACCATTATCATCACCACCACCATCATCATCCCCATCACCATCATCATCACCATTATCATCATCACCATCATCACCAACATCATCATCATCCCCATCACCATCATCATCACCATCATCATCATCACCATCATCATCACCACCATCATCATCACCATCATCACCAACATCATCATCATTATCAACATCATTACTCTCATAGTCATCACCATCATCACCATTATCATCACCACCATCATCATCATCACCATCATCACCACCATCACCACCATCATCATCATCATCACAATCATCACCAACATCATCATCATTATCAACATCATTACTGTCATAATCATCACCATCATCACCATTATCAGCACCATCATCATCATCACCACCATCATCATCACCACCACCATCATCATCACCACCATCATCATCACCACCACCATCATCACCACCACCATCATCATCACCACCATCATCATCACCATCATCACCAACATCATCATCATTATCAACATCATTACTGTCATAATCATCACCATCATCACCATTATCAGCACCATCATCATCATCATCATCACCACCATCATCATCACCACCACCATCATCACCACCACCATCATCATCACCACCACCATCATCACCACCACCATCATCATCACCACCATCATCATCACCATCATCACGAACATCATCATCATTATCAACATCAATTCTGTCATAATCATCACCATCATCACCATTATCAGCACCATCATCATCATCATCATCATCATCACCATCATCACCATTATCACCATTATCAGCACCATCATCATCATCATTACCATCATCACCAACATCACCACCATCCTCATCATTACCATCATCACCAACATCATCATCATTATCAACATCATTACTCTCTTAATCATCACCATCATCAATATTATCATCACCACCATCATCATCATCATCATCATCATCATCACCACCATCACCACCATCATCATCATCACAATCATCACCAACATCATCATCATTATCAACATCATTACTGTCATAATCATCACCATTATCAGCACCATCATCATCATCATCATCACCATCATCACCATCATCATCATCACCACCACTATCATCATCATCACCATCATCACCATCATCACCAACATCATCATCATTATCAACATCATTACTGTCATAATCATCACCATCATCACCATTATCATCACCACCATCATCATCATCATCACCATCATCACCATCATCATTACCACCATCACCACCATCATCATCATCACCATCATCACCAACATCATCACCCTTATCAACATCATTACTGTCATAATCATCACCATCACCATCATCATCATCACCTCCACCATCATCATCATCACCTCCACCATCATCATCATCGCCATCATCACCAACATCATCATCACCAACATCATCATCACCAACATCATCATGAACATCATCACCATCATCATCTAAATCACAATCATCATCACCAACATCATCATGATCATAATCATCACCATCATCACCATTATCATCACCACCATCATCATCACCATCACCATCATCATCATCCCCATCACCATCATCATCCCCATCATCATCATCACCATCACCATCATCATCATCACCATCATCACCAACATCATCATCATCCCCATCATCACCACAAAATAACACATTTTAGGCAAAATTTAGACACAAACTGAGGACAATACTTCCTGACATACAGGGTTCATTTAATTGTGTGAAAATGTAGCATGTTTAAAAAAAATACCGTGATAATACCGAAAACCGTGGTAATTTTGGTCACAATAACCGTGAGGTTAAATTTTCACACCGTGACAACCCTAATACAGACCATTTTAGATTAGGTTACATTTCCTTTATTCCCAGATTATGTAGTTTGTAGCACTCATTATAATGTAGAAAATTTCTGGCCAATCCACGTGATCGGTATCGGTGATCGGTATCGGTGATCAGCATTCTTTGATATCGGTGTCGGTGATCGGCAGCAAAAAACCTGATCGGTGCATCCCTAATTGTGATCAAAAATATTTAATCTCAATTCTGAGGCTGCTCTGTAAATAGTTTTCAAATAAACAATACACATATCAACTTCTGATCATTCCATATCAATTTCAGACTTAAAATAATATATTGATGTAAACCACACCCACATCCGGTTGAACCACGCCCACTTCCGGGTTATGTCACGCCCCTTCCGAGTACAGATACAGATACAGATAATTTAGTTGGTTGAACAGATACAGATAGAGATACAGATAGTGGTGTACTCGCTCATCCCTAGTTCTGGTGGCGTGTAGAACTTGGGAGTGCAGGCTGCTGCCTGAGAGGTGTTTGGAGACGGAGTGTCTCCATGCTGCTTTGTTTTGGTCACTTATGAGCGTGAGGCGAGTGGTGTTACGACTCTTCCTGGGGAGTTTGGCTCGTGTGCAAAAAGGAAGGGACAATAACGGGATGTCAAAGTTAAAATGATGATCAGGTTCATTTACAACTACAAAAAAAAATCATAAATCTTTCCATCCACAGGTTGGGAATAATAAAACTAATTCTGCCTGTGGAGAATTAAAACAAAAGTACAAATGATTAGGGATGTTCCACTGGGCAAAGATTACTGGGTTCTGGACCAAAATAAGGATCTCCAAAGGTCCAAACTCTACACTGGGTGGTTAAACCAAACTCACGGTGATATCTTAAACTAAACCGAAAACCCACAACACTCTAAATGTAATAAAAGGGAGATCTGCACCACAAAAACGATGAACTCTAAACCAAAACGTAACAGCTTATCCAAACGCAAGAAGCTGTTAACGAAAATGCTAACAGTAGCTTTACCGACGTTAAGCTCAAGTTACCAAGTTTAAATAAACCAAAAACACCCAGCAGCAAAAAGACCAGCATGGAGGAGAGACTGCTACCACCAAAACAGCTCTCCTAATGTCTGAAAGACGCTCCTTTATGAAGGGAGAAACGCTCCCGGTGATTTTCTACATCTGCGGTAGAGACGAAGCAGCACATCTGACCCCGGAAGTTGTTGTCCGTTGCCTGGAGACGAAGGCGGGCAAAACAGGAAAGGAATCTAGTAGCGGACGGACATTGTTCCGGGTCTTCGGTATTTGGTGGAGATGTTAGTGAAGGCGGAGAAGAGGGCGAGCTAGAGGAAAAACAGGCAGATTCCTCCTCTATTTACAAACTCCTGGGATTGCAACAAGTGGGCGTGGTGCGTCGACTACCGGATCTGACGTCGACAAATTTTTAGAATCGAGCCGTCGACGTCATCGAGGCTTCGCTACAGCCCTAATGTAGTCATCCTAACTCAGCAGGGACATACATCCTCCTCGACAGGGTGAGATTTGTGGACAGCAGTCCTCACCTTTGAAGAAGCTTTTGACCCTCAGGTATCCCACGCTGAGGCGGAGGACGGACAGTTTGTCCAGACGGGAGCGCACCTCTTCAGGAAAGGGCAGGAGGTCCATCAGCCTGTCCAGCTCACCATTCAGCCGGTCCCTGTGGCGCTTGGAGGGATTCGATTTAACCACCTCATTGTTTTCCAGGACCTTCTTCCTGATGGGTGGAAAGAACATGCACATTCATTAAAGGCTTTAGATGACCGAGGAGGTCTCTGGTCTCTGGTCCTCCTGATGGTTGGAAATCATCATCTTAGGTATCTGCAGCAGCTCTCCAAATGGACTTAGAGCTGCTCAGGCATCCCCCACTACACGCGCACACCACACACACACACACACACACACACGGTTGTGTTGGACCTGTTGTCATCAGGGTGTTCTTACACCAACATGTGACATTGAGGCTTTGGTAAATAAGCTGATTTTGTACCGATCAGTGTCTTTTCTCTGGTTGAAGACAACGATAAACCATCCCAGCTGCTCCTCAGCAAAACATTCCGAGAAACCACACACACACACACACACACACACACACACACACACACACACACACACACACACAGATAGGCACACAGACACACACACACGCGTGAGCACACACGCACACATACACACACACACAGACTTACACACTCGCACAAACACACAGACAAGCACACACACACAGATGTACACACACATGCATGCATGTGCACACACACACACACACACACACACACACACAGATGCGCACACAGACACAAACACACAGACAGACACACACACAAAATTGCAAACACACTAACACACTCGCATGAATACACACACACACACACAGACACACACACACACACACACACACACACACACACACACACACACACACACACACACACACACACACACACACAGACACGCACACACACACACACAGACACACACAGACACACACACACACACACACGCACACACACACAGACACACACACACACACACACACACACACACACACACACACACACACACACACAGACACACACACACACACACACACACAGACACACACACACACACACTGCAGACCAAAATGCTCATTCAGAACCAAAGGAAGTGAGCTAGCATTAGCCTTGACCTCAGCTAACATCAGTGGCTGAAACAGGACAGAATTCTATTTGAAGCTTTATTATTGATTGTAATACATAAACTTACATGTTCATGCAAAATAAAATACTTTATTTTCAATACTTTACCTAAATTATTTAAACAGATTCATAAAATCTGGGATTTTTGCATGTTGAAGTTTTATTAAACCACTGAGTCACTTTGTGCAGAAAAATAATAAAACATAAAATAGAACTCAGAGAAACGACCTTCTCAGTGGCCTCTAGTGGTCTGAGTGTCTCCCTGGGACTGGGGGATGCGGGACTCCGCTCGGGTCGCTCAGCTTTAAGGGGGTTAAACCACTAAATAGTTCCTGAGCGCAGCCACAGCTCACCGCTCCTCACGGGGATGGGTCAAATGCAGACATGTGTGTGATGATGGCTTTAACTATAAATCGGCCTAGACCAAGCCCAGTGGTCTGAGGGTAAGTCCAGTTTGTGCTAGAGCAGCTAAATGATGAGATGGTGACTAAAATGGTTTAACCACAGAACATCTGTTGTACTGTCTGGTAGGAGCCACCATTACAGAATCAGCCCTAAAAGTCAGAAGATAATGCTCATACTCAGAGAGAAAATTCCCTTTTCGTCCTCCAACTTCTCTCTTTACAGAAACGTTGGTTAATGGCAGACTATTAAATTTCCTCCTCTGCCACTAAACCCACCCGCTGTCCTCATACCCGAGTTTTACCTTCTCAGAAATGATCTCACTCCAAAGAAATGCTCAACAAAGACCAAAGCCAGCATTCAGGGCCGTTCTTCCTCCGTGGTTTTAGGGATCAGGAGGCTAAGAAACAGATTCTGGGTTTGATGTCTGAGAATAGGACGTTTTTTTCTACTGGGATCTCAGCAGGTTATGAGCTCATCACGCTCATCCTGCACAGATCCATCACACACCTGTCAGCCTGAAGCAGCTGACCCACAGAGGTGACTCAGTGGGTCACGCTCAGCTGGTTTACAGAAGCAGTTCAAACCCTTCAAGAATCTGAGAAACGGCAGAGCTTCTGACAGAGCAGCCCAGAGGTTTCTAGATGAGGACCAACGAGACCTGCTCCGCTCCGGGTCAGACCAGAGGAAAAGTCACACAAACACTTTTATTCATTTAACAGACCCAGAAAAAAGACATGACACATTCCTTTCACTGATCCAATCAGAATCTTACAGATCTGACGGAGGCGTGGTTTTGATGGTGTTAGGTAATTTTTCATTCGACAATAAACCCTGACATCCGAAGTATAAATCTATGCCATGTCAGCTCTAACGCCAGTCCAAAGCGTTCCAGAGAAAGTGACGGAGTGGCCAATCCTGATCTCTACTCGTTAACCGAAAGAACAACGACAAGCTGGAAAATGTGTCGCTATTCCAACAGCAGCAACAGTTCCTTTCAGAATAAAAGCTGAAATATCCAGACCCAGGCTTGGGTCTCACCAGACGCCAATAACTTGTCGTGTACCCGGAAGTAACTCAAGATGGGTCTGATCGGAACCGCAGCTTTTCCTACTGGCTCGGTTCCAGAGAGGGTCCACTGGACCTCGATATTCCTGATCAACAGGGGGCTTCCACGAAGGGTAGGTAGACCGGCATGATGGTGTCTCATGTGTTTCTGAACTTCTGAACCAAAGCTTAATGCAAAACAACACCTTCAGTTCCCGTCAGAACAATCGCTTCTTCGGATTTGCTGGTTCTGATTTAACATCACACGTCATCCATCCACCGTCTCATCCACTTTTAGTTACACCATACATTTAGTTTTAAAGTCAGTCTAGTTTTTAGTCTAGTTTAGCCCGACCCAGCTAGAAGCAGAACTTCCGGACTGAAGCTGAAAAGGTTTTGTTTCTCGGAAACAAGAACACCGAGCTAGTGTGTTTTACTGAAGAGCAGCTGGGATGGTTTATCGTTGTCTTCAACCAGAGAAAAGACACTGATCGGTACAAAATCAGCTTATTTACCAAAGCCTCAATGTCACATGTTGATGTAAGAACACCCTGATGACAACAGGTCCAACACAACCGTGTGTATGTGTGTGTGTGTGTGTGTGTGTGTGTGTTCCAGCTGAAAGCTGAGCTTAACTCATTCACTGCCAATGACGACTAACGTCGTCATTTGCATTTTTTTACTGTTTGAGCATCAGAACGAGCCCCCGCACTGAGAGAACAAACATCTCAGCCCTGAAGCCGATCTTCATCCGTGTACGTCACATGTCACGTGATCAGGAAGCAGACCATCCATGTGTTAGGAGATCGTTTTGGGCCGTTCCTATAAAAAAAAGTGAGGCGTGAACCGGAAAAGCTTCTGCCGATCACAATTCAACAACGGATTATGAAAGAACGGATAACGCTCGAAACACGCGGATTCTTCCTGATGTAAGAGGTGAGTCTCCTCTTTGTTTTGGTTGTTTTGGCGTCGACATCATCCTAGTGCGCAACGTTCTGTGACTCTTAAAAAAACAGTAAAAACGGTGAGAGACGCTGGCAGCGAAGGCTGTTAGCGATCAGGAAACGGCTGGCAGTGAATGAGTTAAAAGACAATGACAAAAGCGTGTCAGCGTGTCGAATTTTTAAGGATTTGGAAAAGCAAATTTAAGACTTTTTAAGGACCTGCGGATACCCTGTGATGGAACAGCCAGATCTGGTGATCACACTGGAAGTGTCTTGGAAGTGTCCGGCCTGAGATTTTTACTTAGATGAATGCTTCATGTTGAAAACATGGTCCGGCTGTTGGTATCAATACACACCGCTAGCCTTTCTGAATGTTTCCCTTTAATAGGCGTGGTCGTGAGAAACATGGCAGCAGACATCTCAGCGCCTGCATACATGTCTCACTATCTGTTCTGATTACTACACAGCTGAAGTATTTCGTCATCAGAGCTACCATTACTCACAAGTATACCTGCAGCTTCTTAAGTGTTGTCCACGTGATCACTTTAATCCACACAACTACGTTCACACAGGTTAGCAGTGAGCTGTCTGGGGGGGTTAGAAAAGCTCAGCGAGCTATAATTAACCCAGATGTCCAAGCGAAGAACGTGCCACAACAACCGGCTAAAACTGTGCTGCTGCTGCTATCATTGAGCAGAGATAAGAGGAAACACAAACAGGTCATATGTGAGCTTCTGGACCTTTGAGACGTGCCGTACAACACGTGCACAATTAGCTGTAAACGGCTAGGAATGAGTTTAAAAATGTCATTTCTACCGAAAACGTGGTGTGTTGGGGAAAAAAAACTCAAATAGACGTTTCTTCATTCTTTAGGAACCGTGCACAAAAAAGAACATTAAACCGGTCGGTTAGGTGCAAGCGGAGAACAGGCAGAACCCACAGCAGGCGTCCTGGTAATAAAAGAGAACATGTGGACAGGCAGCACTGCAACGGATTCCCGTGTGCAGTGACCACAGCACTTTATGGTCAGGCTCAATAGTGCCTTTGTGCAGCAGAGCCCAGCTGTCCGTGCAGGAAACCTCAGACCCAAATCTGCAGAAACGCAGACGTCTGCAGACAAGCCAACTCTTTATTTTGGGATTGGGAACAGCCAGATCAGTAGGAGCGCACAGATCTGTCTGTGCACAGATGGGAATACGCCCGGTGTCCCAGGAGAATGGCACTGTCACATCCTAAATGTGGTATTTATTCAGGATTTCCATCTAAAACCACTAACGCTGAAGTGAAGCAGGATGCTGCGGTTTAAAAGCCACCTGATGCAGGATGGTGCTTACCCACCTTGTGTCAAAGTCCATCACTAATTTAGTTTCAAACAGAACTGATGTTAACAACAGTCTCAAACATTGGTCTGAATGTGTTTTGGTCAGGAACCAGGCTATGAGTGCAGGTGTTCCGGAGTCAGGTGGATCCTACGTCCTACAGCTGAGAATGACCACATCTGAACAGGTCATGAGACTGGAACAAAGGAAGTTCAATGAGGAAAACCGAATCCCAGAACAGGACAAATAAAATGTAATCTGAGGTAAAACAAGGATTGTTTGGAATGTCTAAGAGATGCAGCTAGAAGACAAAGCCCCTTTGCCAAGAAAACAGTCGCTCAGGAGGTAGAGCGGGTTACCCCAGCTCCTCCCAGGAGTATTCTGCTGTTGTGTCCTTGGGCAAGACACTTCACTCAACTCGCCTGTGTTGGTGGTGGTCAGAGGGGCCGACGGCGCCAAATGGCAGCCTCGCCTCTGTCAGACCGCCCCAGGGCAGCTGTGGCTACGTAGTAGCTCACCATCACTAGCAGTGTGCGAATGTGAGAGTGCGTGAAAGCGTCTCTGAGTGTCCTAAACAAGCACTATATAAGTTTGATGATGATGATGATGATGATGATGATGAAAACAACAGCAATCCATAAACTATCCAGAAATTGAATCAGGATCTGATTTAAACTGACGAATCACCTTGCTTTTAATGGCTGTCCTGCTACAAATGTTTCGCTCTCAGTGGTGACGTTAAAAGGTTTTAGTGACAGTATCCAGCTAAAATGTGGAACACCAATCCTGAGTAATCAGATTACATACAGACAGCTGAAGAGGAGGAGTCAAGCTCGTGGCCAGCGTGAAGAGGAGGAGCCAAAGTGGTGGCCAGCAAGAAACATGTTCATCCAATCAGTTTAATTCTCATCATAGACGTCATCACTGACAAATCAACTTCTAGTTAGCTAACTTTTTAGCGGACAAAGCTATAAGTCTTTAGTTCAGCGCTAATGTTTGGAGTACAAAAAAGGAAAAGGGGCCGTATGCGATTCATTGTCTGTTTAAAACGCTCCAGTTACCGCAGTGGGATTCCAAGTGGTTCCAGTTCAGCTCCGTGCATCAGATGCATCAGAAAATGTCCCGTGAGAACAGAACAGGGAGACTGGATTTTCCACGTTTGCTTTACAATAGAAGCGCAGAGTCTACATTAGTGAGTACCGCCTGCTGTGTGTGTGTGTGTGTGTGTGTGTGTGTGTGTGTGTGTGTGTGTGTGTGTGTGTGTGTGTGTGTGTGTGTGTGTGTGTGTGTTTCTCTACTTCACCTGAAACCAGCAGCTATTATCAGACATTTTTTTCTGGTATGTTGATGTTTTTGGCGTTAAGCAGCTAAATTAGCCCATTTTCTGTGCTGGAGAAGTGAAATTTTAAACATGATGGAATACTGAGGACCAAGATCAGAGAGCTAGTGTAAAAAATTAGGCATCATTGTTTTTACTACAATAGCTGGTGGGCTGGTCTGGGCTCAAAATGCCCAGGCTGATTCTTGTCCCAGTCCAGCTCTGCTTACAAGTTCTGGCTTGTAGGAAAGATGACTCATCAGGCTTTCTGACAATATCAGATCCATTTCCAGAAACCTTGTTGGCTCAACAAAAAATAAAAAAACCATTAAACACTCATTTATTTTCTTTCCATCTAAAGTCCATGATTATTGATTTTGGCTACATGTTTTAAAAATAGTTAGAAATCAGGATCAGGATTCACTCAGAGTGCTGTGAGGCTGGTGTTTCTGAGGTATTTATAGGGCTGATTGTGCCCTCTGTGGTCCCTGTACCAGTCATACGTCACATCAATGATTGGAGCAGCGTTTGGTCATCTTTTCATACGTACACGATGCTGATGAACTGTGAACAATACATTTGAGGGCTGCCACCATGATGTTTGACCATCTAGCAGGTTTATGGGTTAAATCTGCTGTCTGTGCTGTGATTTTACAGGAACATCAGCAGTCCTGCTGGGGGGCCTGTTTGTTGGTCAGCTGACTGTGGAACAGAGATCTAATCACCTGTGTTGTTGTTGTGACAGAAGCCAGGTGTGAACAGATCATCTGACAGAAACACCATTCAGTCAGCAGCTCCACTGAGATCATCAGACTCGATTCCTCAAAGCTCCTCTTTGATATTCTTGTTAGTTTGTGATCTTTTTAGGTTGTTTAATCAGACTTAAAACTTTCCACAAAGCTGTCTAAACCTAACTAGCCTAAGCAAAGATTAATGGTGTGATGTTTTCTGGGTTAAACCCAGATATATGTCGCTGGTTAAAACTCATCTTCAATAATACATTAATGTTAAAAATCAGAAGGGACCAGAATGTTTTTCGCTGAAGTTACAATTTGTAAAACATTTGTAGCTTTGAACAGAAACAAGACAACGATGCTAAACATAAGTAAATATTACAGCAGCCCCATAATAATAAGCGTTTCAGTGTTTTACACAACCACCAACCGGAGAAAGCAGCGCTTTTCAACAAATAATCGTTTGTTTGGGACTTTGAGGAGGCCTCATGCGACCCTCGCCACTGACAGGAGAAACAGAGAGCGAGCATGCGCAGGTCCCAGAACGGCCAGCGCCTCGCGAGGCCCTATCACATTACAACAGTCCGAGGCCCCGCCCACACACTCCGCCCTCCCCGGAGCATCGCGTGAGAGCAGCAGCCGAGCCGACTCTCAAACTCGATTGTGATTAATTTAGTGCGCGAGGGCAAGATGTCCATGCCAGATCCAGCGAGACGCTTTTAAGGTGGAGGAAAGTCACGGGCGCTGTCACAAGCAACACAAGTTAACAGATGCATTTAAACTTTATTTACTGGACAACTTCAGCAGCACTGACACTATTTTAACGGCTCTGACTCAGTCAGGAAATGAGCAAGAGAAAAAGCATGTCGAAAGTTTACCGTCCACCTTATTTTTCATTGCCTTTATGTTCAGGACAATGATTTCATAACTTGATTTTGGGCAGAAACGTTTGTGAAAACACAGACAACAGCTGTTGTGGCTCAGATTTGCCCACAGCTTGTTTACTCAGGGAGGTAAACAAAAGCATTTCTAACTAAATGTAACAAGCATGAGGCTACTTAAGCGAGACAAACTCACTGCTTGAGGACGGGCTTCTTCCTCTTCTTGTTGGCGTAGGTTCCTGGGTTATTGAACATGGTGTCTCTCGGTTCACGTTAACTATTTACGCCAGATTCTCGTCCGTGTATCTAGTTTCCTCCGCTACGGACGCTCTCTCCGTCCGAAAGCTGCCGGGATCCGCGGCGTTTAGGGACCGCTCTGACTGCTCCCGGGGGCGGTCACTGGTGCTGACCTTGGCGGTCAGCGGTGCGGCGAGCTTAGGCTCCTGGAGGTTTGGTGAAGAGGAGGAGATGGAAGTAAGCAAAGTTTAAAATTCAGACTACGTCCAACCCTTTCTCTGTGGATAAACAAGGCCGCCGTATTAAAATCTCTCTCTCTCTCTCTCTCTCTCTCTCTCACACACACACACACACACACACACACACACACGGGGCGTTTTCAGGAAATGTGTAGTCTATCTTACTGTGTTTTAAGGTGGACCGGGCTCTTTTGTAACACTCGTGGTGGGCCGTGATTTTTTTAAAAGTTTGAACAAAACTCCTGTTTGCTACACGCAGGGAGGACCTCTGACAACAACATAAGGTTAAAACGGTTAAAACACCAAAGAAACCGAAGCGATTGAGCAGGAAAACTGCTGGAGCAGGATCATAATCACCTATGTTTACTGAATCCAGACGTAAACAGCTGAATAATATGAAATAAGATTACTATGTAATACATAAATCCGTAATAAACACGTATTTATGCACGTAATAATATTAACTGTCTGATTTAGTTCAATGACATGATTTAATGGCAAAAAAGCTCAGAAGAGATCTGTCTTTTGCAGAAACTAATTGTCCCAATTTAGAGTTGACATCACTTGATTTCTGACTTCTGCCATATCCAGCTGCTCATCTTACTCCTGCAGGTGTTGGTGGGTCCACAGAGGAATAGGCGTGTAACTGGCTGGGCCCATGCACTTGCACACAGACCCTAACCACAGGGAACAGTGGCGTGTCCAGATCTTTTAAAATGGGGTGGCCCAGGTGAGGCACAGCTTTGTGCATGGGTGGCACCAATGGTTATGCGTTTTTGTTTTACCCCCAAGCCTTTTGTGGACAATGAAAAGCCTATTTGAAGGTAAATTAGTGTGGTGACACCTGGGGTGGCCCATCAGATTCCAAGGGTGGCATGTGCTACCCCAGGCCACTCCCTGGACACGCACCTGCCAGGGAACTGGCTCCAGAAAGAGACCCGGTTTTCACGACAAACACTGTTCTAATAATTATACTACAGTTTTGTATTTTTGAGTAATATCACCTATTTCAAATAAACGTGCTTAATATGCATGTTATTATACTGTAAACAAGAGCAAAACTGTCGTAACACGCTGCTGTAGGTTTATTGGACGAGGAAGCACAGATAGTCAGAACACCGGTAATCCTGCAGTCTGGGTACACCTGTCCTCTGCTCTGACTTTGTGTTCATGCAAGGTCTCGAGTTGTCCTTTACCCGGGACTCCACAGTTAGGATCCAGTTAGGATCAAAGTGGAGAAAAGTATAACAGGAAAACTCTTCTTCTTACCTGCAGTTTTGCACATGTGCAGAAGAATTTACATGTGTTTTTTTTACCTGGTACAACGGTCACATATTTGGAAGAGATAGGATCAGAACAGCAGACCTGAATAAGACAAATAGGACAAGACAAGACTTTCATTTGATCTATTGAGATCTTTTCGAACGAGTAGTTTCAGATAGTCTAGTGGTGCATATAGGCTGCAATATTCAAATGGTAGGGTCAGAATTTGGTGTCACCACCATGAAAGCATGGATCCAACCTGCTTTGTATGAGGATGGGGGAGATGTTCTGCTCCCACTGTGGACCCCTCAGTTCCACCTGAGCCTGGTTTATACACCACAGCCTACCTGAGTGCTGTTGCTGACCATGTCCATCCCTTTATGACCATGTGGATCCACCTTCTGGTGGAGATCACGGAGCTGATGAAAACATGGAGGGATAGAGCTGATGTTGTCATGTCAGGGTGGACCAGAGCATCTGAGGAAGGTTAAAAGCACCTTGTTGGGTCTAAAGAATACAAATTCAGATACTGTCTCTTTAGGATGCAACACTTGGTCCAGCTCTATGCATTAGGTGAGAGACATTGGGCGTGTATGGTCATCATCATAACGACTCGACCCACCCAGTTCATGTTGAGTCATTCCTTGACCACTAAGATCAGAAGTGGGCAGCTATGAATTTGGACGGTCTAGCCTTCCGACGTATTCCTGCCCTACCTCAGCAGGTGTGTTTTCGCCTAGCATCCATGATGGCACTTTACAGAAGTTAAACTAAACTTAGTGGTGAATTGTATGTAAAGAACAAATATGCTTACACATGTGCACACACACACACATGCACACACTCACACAATCACATATTTATAAATGGGCGCACATACACACATATGATTACACACACACAGCATTAACAAATTCAAGATGAGAAGATAATGTTGGACGCAAAACAAAACAAAGATGATTTTATTTGGAGTTGCACTGACAATATTACCTTTTCTACTGAGTGCAACACTGCAGACATACAACAGGGAAGTCTTAAAGACAAAAACTAAATCAATCTTTTTATTCTGTAAGGACAAAAATCAGGAATTTTAAATAGATTTGACTAAATCTAAACCTCTGCTGACCAAAAACAACACATTTACCCAAAAAACTTTTCAAACATCCCAAAGGATTCTGGGTAAATATGCTGAACAGACCAGGACAGAACTTCCTGTAAGGGGAATGTCCCATTTCATCTGGGATAAGCGCATCGCTAAAACATCATAGCAACAGTCAGGCATGGTGGCGACAGTGTAATGGTCTGGGGCTACTCTGCTGCTTCAGGACCCAAACCACCCGCTGTTCTTACCACAAACCAAAGCTGCCGAGAACACATCCTCAGAAAATCAATTCTTTCATGAATCTGGTGTGAGAGCAGCTGTCGGGTCTTCTGTGAACCATCAGCAGGACTTTTCTAGCAGGCAGGACAAGACAAGAAGCAGGGCCGCTGCCTGCTGGAGGAGGAAGAGTTGCGTGTGAGGAAAAGGAGGGCAGTTTTTCACACAGCAAGACGTAACTTTATTACACCCTCCACCACAACTCCATTAAAAAGAAACACCAGGTCATTTAAAGCAATTGTTTGATTGTTTCTGCTAATTAGCCCTTGTGTGGTCACACAGCTGGTGTGGCGGTATTAGGAGGGTATGGAAGTTAATACCACGCTTCACAGGAAGCCAGAGTCCCACAGAAACTATATTTTAATCTTCTGTCAGTCTCTCCAACAAGAAGCATTACTCAAGCTAACTCAGTTTTTGTTCTGTCACACAGCTGGCTGTGCTCTGGTCACATGACTCATTTACTAACATGTGTCAGTGTGTTGCACCAAAACATGAGGTGTGTGTGTGCGTGTGCGTGTGCGTGTGCGTGTGTGTGTGTGTGTGTGTGTGTGTGTGTGTGTGTTATTTTTAGGTTTGGTAATAGAACTGCTCTTTGTGCCGGTCTACCTGGGTCTCTGTTGCTGCTCTTTGTTTTTGTCTGCTTGTAAGTTTATTATGTTTAAAAAGTCAGTGAATTAAAGCAACATAAACTGATTCAGGATTAACAGTCACACTGAAGCTGAGCGATATTATTACTGATGTGGCAGTATGAGAAAAGTTTTGGCTTAAGGCAGTTGTGAAGTAGCGCAGAAAAATGTTGGCTGCTGTTTTGGTTGCCATGCTTTTGAGCTGTTTTAATGACAAACAGTGAACCTCCTCCCTGTTGGCTCAGGCCCCTTCTGCAGAAGAGACAAATAAAACCTGCAGTAAAACCAGCGGAAATTTGGCAAGTTGGATTCACCAAACCCCTGAGCTGGCCTCACAGGGCTGCAGTAAAAAGTACCACTCAGTAGGAAGAACCAGCCTGGCAAGTGAGTCTGTCACTTTGTCAAATTACTGTACAAACATCAGTCTTAACGGCTGCAGGCCTTGCCGACAGCTCTTCCGGTTGGACCCGAGGCTCCGCTCATTTCTGTGATTTATGCCTGCTCACATCTCCTGTCTGTGTGGGAATAATCTCTTCCTGAAAATGATCCCATGTCAAAGACGTCTCGCTTCTTCTCAGCTGCAGGAGCTGCAGGCTGCAGGGCAGACATCACCCAGGACATTTACATGTAGATCCTATGTGGAAGTCACTTGTATTCACTTTCATCAATGTTATCAACTAAATTCTGGATGTCTTCTAATGCTGACTAATGCATACTCTACACAGAGTCCACCGCCTGTAACAGTTTACATGCATGCTCCTTAGCAGCAGGTGTCAGGTTTAACCCCCTAAGACATAATAAACAACAGCAGAAAAGAGACACAAAAGTCAGAATTCTGTTTTATGCTCGAGGAGAATGGAAATGAGGTCCGACCAGCTCAGTCTCCACTGTACCGGCACATCCTCCAAAACCATTCTGCCTTTGAAATCCAAGCATCCTCTATTTATTACAAGCTGGGAGTTCCCTAGTTACATGTCTGATGAGCTGATCTGAAGGGTGGGGGAAACACAGCTCTCAGTATTCAGTAATTGTTACAAGTTCACACAATGAGCATTCAGTTTTTCTAATCAGTGTCTAATCACACGATGAGCAACAGATAGTTGCACGAGTCAGCAGTTGTCCTTGGGTCACATTAGGTCAGGACAAAGGCTCAGCATTCTTTAAGTCTCCTCATGAGACTTCAAACAATACAGCAACTGTTCAGCATAAATGTTAAAATCTTTAAATATAACAAAAGCATAAAGCATGATTGTAACGTGATGGAGGTGCTATTCCACCGGAGGTTATTTACCCTCTCTCCACACAGATGCCTCTGACACAGTACTAATCTGCATGAGACTGCCTCAAGGTCATACATTTTCTTCTAAACTGCTTCCTATCCAGCCCAAGAGAAGAATGAAGACAAAGGACTCTTTCCTTTTAATAAATCAAAGAACTCTATTTTTAACAAAGCTAATCAAACAAAGTGTTAGTCGATAATATAATGTTGACCGATCTGTGAAATGACAATGTTATGATTAGTAAGTTTTAATAAGTAATATGACTTTAATCTAGCTGCACTAGACATGCTGACTACACGTAATGTAAACGCACGACACATTGCTTTTACTCGTCCAATCAGAACCTTCCTTTCTGAAGCGTGGCATAGTCTCTGTGGTGTTTACAAATCTGCCAACTTTGATTCAACCATAAATCAAAATATCCAGATTAATAAAACCAGTCCCCACGCCATCTTAAGCTCAGTTCACCGCATGCTAAGAGAAGTATTGGACCGGCCACCCGGACTTCCTTTTTAAGCAAGAACCACCAAGCTGGATAAAATCTGTTGCACTTTACCAACCAAGCAAC